GTGCGAATCCGTTCCGTGCAAGCAAACCAAACGTGGGGCAAAACCCGATGTTCTCTATGTCACGTCTCCGCTGGTTCTTCACCGGGTCCATAATGAGCAGAGTGAATGGAGGAGATACCTCATTGTGGCCACTAGATGGAGCCGAGGATCACAGGAAATCAATACAACTTCGTGAGAAGATACAATGTTATCACCTAAGAGATCACGGGAGGGAATTAGCATATAAATGTCACCATCGTTACTACTGGGATAGCAGTGATCACATTTATATACTCATTCCCTCACTATATACATTCTAAAAAGAAGAGACAATTGAGGAGACCACTGGAGGGAATGAGCCTATAAATGTAATCACTGCTATCCCAGTAGTAACAATAGTGACATTTATGTGCTCAATCCCTCCATATATACATTCTAGTAAGAAGATACAATGTTACCACCTAAGAGACCACTGGAGGGAATGAGCATATAAATGTCACCATCACTATCTGCATATTATCAATAGAGAAACATGCTCGTTCCCCCATAAATAAATGTTAGTAAGATGATACAATGTTACAATTCTAGGGACCTCTGAAGGAAATGAGCATATAAATGTAACTAGCGCATAGAATCAGTGGTGACATTTATATGCTCATTCCCTCCAGTGGTCTCCTCAATTGTAACATTGTATCTTCTTACTAGAATGTATATATCGAGGGAATGAGCATATAAATGTCATCACTGCTGTCCCAGTAGTAACAATGCCTACATTTATATGCTCATTCCCTCCAGTGGTCTCCTCAATTGTAACATTGTATCTTCTTACTAGAATGTATATATCGAGGGATTGAGCACATAAATGTCACTATTGTTACTACTGGGATAGCAGTGATTACATTTATATGCTCATTCCCTCGATATATACATTCTGGTAAGACGATACAATGTTACAATTGAGGAGACCACTGGAGGGAATTAGCATATAAATGTCACCATTGATTCTATGAGGACAGTGCTAGTTACATTTATATGCTCATTCCCTCCAGTGGTCTCCTCAATTGTATCTTCTTGCTAGAATGTATATATAGAGGGAATGAGCATAAATGTCACTATTGTTACTACTGGGATAGCTCGGGTTACATTTATCTGCTCAATCCCTGTAAATATACATTCTAGTAAGAAGAGACAATGTTACATTTGAGTGGACTAATAGGGGGAATGAGCATATAAATGTAACCAGAGCTATCCGAGTAGTAACAATGGTTACATTTATATGCTCCTTCCACCATAAATGAATGTTAGTAAGACGATACAATATTACAATTCCAGAGACCTCTGACGGAAATGAGCATATAAATGTAACTAGCGCTGTCCTCACCATAATGGTGACATTTATATGCTCATTCCCTCCAGTGGTCTCCTCAATTGTATCTTCTTACTAGAATGTATAAATAGAGAGAATGAGCATATAAATGTAACCAGAGCTATCCCAGTAGTAACAATGGCCACATTTACATGCTCATTCCCCCTCCCCCATAAATATAGCTTAGTAAGACGATACAATGTCACAATTCTAGAGACCTCTGAAGGGAATGAGCATATAAATGTAACTACTGATACTATAGGGATAGCGATGGTTACATTTATATGCTCATTCTCTCCAGCGTTCTCTTGCATTGTATCTCATTAGTAATGTGATTGTTTCCTCGGCGCCACCTCGGGGTTATAATCAAGTATCACATGACACATCATAATGGAATAGATTATTTCCTGTGCTCATCGGCGCCACCTAGTGGCTGTAATCTAGTATTACATCACACATCATAATGGAATTTCCCCCTGCTCCTCGGCGCCACCTAGTGGCTTTAATCTAGTATTACATCACACATCATAATGGAATTTCCCCTGCTCCTCGGCGCCACCTAGTGGCTGTAATCTAGTATTACATCACACATCATAATGGAATTTCCCCTGCTCCTCGGCGCCACCTAGTGGTTATAATCTAGTATTACATCACAATGCATAACGGAATAGATTATTTCCCCCTGCTCCTCGGCGCCACCTAGTGGCTGTAATCTAGTATTACATCACACATCATAATGGAATTTCCTCTGCTCCTCGGCGCCACCTAGTGGCTGTAATCTAGTATTACATCACACATCATAATGGAATTTCCCCTGCTCCTCGGCGCCACCTAGTGGTTATAATCTAGTATTACATCACAATGCATAACGGAATAGATTATTTCCTCTGCTCCTCGGCGCCACCTAGTGGCCGTAATTAGGTATTTCCATCATTCACTTTGTTCTTTATAATCCTATTGAAGAACAGTGGACCGGAAGAGAAATGACACCAAGAACATTTGAGTGTACTGTACATACAGAGAAGACACAAGATAAAGTCAGTTATTGGACGAGAGACCATTGGTCACTTTTATTCTCGGTTGCCCATAGAAACAACACACAATTAAAGGGGACCTGTCACGTGATCAATGTCTTCATGATGAGTGGAGCTGACTGTCCGCTCAGTGATATTGAATGTTGTATTCGCAGGGGAGGGACAGGACAGCATAACGCGAATCATCGGCGGTTATATCGTCCCGCCGTACTCAGCGCGGTATCTGGTCTCTCTGAAGAGGAACACAGGAATCCACTTCTGCGGGGGGTCCCTGATCAGTCGTTTCTGGGTCCTCACCGCTGCCCACTGCAAGACCGAGTGAGTATAATATATATATATATATAGACAGTATATATACAGTATATATGTGTGTGTGTTGAGGGGGAGGGGGGGGGTTGCAATCAAATTTAAAAATAAAACCCATATAAATGACTTGTAGTTTTACATGTAGCCAGCAGGGGCAGGATTCTTTTCACATTTACCAGCCTCTTCTTAGCTGCGCTGTTGAAAAAAAAGATTGTAAGCAGAGCTCAGTAGCTCAAGCTGACATTATTGCATAGGTGACTCCTCCCCCTCCAGAGTAGTGACTCCACCCCCTCCAGAGCAGAGTCTCTTCCCCCTGCAGAGCAGCGACTCCTTCCTATTCACAGCGGTGGCTCCTCCTCCTCAAAAGCAGTGACCCCTCACCCTCCAAAGCAGAGTCTCCTCCCCCTGCAGAGCAGTGACTCCTTCCTATTCACAGCGGTGGCTCCTCCTCCTCAAAAGCAGTGACCCCTCACCCTCCAAAGCAGAGACTCCTCCCCCTGCAGAGCAGTGACTCCTTCCTATTCACAGCGGTGGCTCCTCCTCCTCAAAAGCAGTGACCCCCTCACCCTCCAAAGCAGTGACTCTTCCCCCCTCCAGAGTAGTGACTCCACCCCCTCCAAAGCAGTGACTCCTCTCGCTCCCTCCATGCAGCTCCACCAGAGGTTTCAGTCAGAGACAGGGTACCTGAAAGGAGATGCCTTCTGCCGTCTCCTCGGCTAACACGGAGCGCTCTGGGAATCCTTCGTCTTGTATCAAATGTTTTTTTTGGTGTGAAAACAAATTGTGTATGTAAAGAAAATGTGATTGGTGGACAGTAGGCTGGGCTCCTGATCACGTGATCAATGTGACCACCAATCACAGTGATCACATGATCGGGAAGCCCAGGGAAAGCAGGGCCGGCGGGTGGCAGCAGTAAAGAGTTAAAGAGGTCTTCTAGGAAACAGCTGCAGCCCTCCTTCCTTCACCCCGAACGCCTCTGACCCCCTTGTGGTGCCAGGAAAATGTAACGATGCCGCGGCGGAGCGAGATGCAAAGGAAGGGAGATGGAGATCTCGGCACGGGTACACCGGGTTAGACATCTTGAGGACCGGTGATCATTTTGCTTGAGGCCCCTTTCATGACAGGTTCTCTTTCTCCTCTCCTCCTTCAGCTGAACCGGCCGGCCGTGTACAACTCCTTCGTGTCCGTAGTCCCTCTGCCGGCCCAGGGGGCGGCGCTCGGCGAGG